CCCCACAGGGATTCATAAGTGAGGACTGGCCGTGTGAAGGGACACCGGGAGCCCTGGAGTGTTTCAGAGAGAGGGACTTTCCGCTCTAGTAGAAGGAAGAGCCCTGTGCTGGCCGGGGGGCAGCGGGTTGGAGCCTCGACCCATCACCAAAAAGCTGCAGGTTTGACCCCCAGTCAGGGTGCCCCTGGGAGGCAACCAATCAATGTTTCTCTCTCTCTGTCTGTCTCTCTCTTTTTTTTTATAATTTATTTTTATATCTTTATTGATTTCAGAGAGAGGAAAGGAGAGGGAGAGAGAGAGACAGAAACATCAATGATGAGAGTCACTGATCGAGCCCACAACCCGGGCCTGTGCCCTGACCGGGAATCGAACCCCGATCGCCTGGATCCTAGGTCGATGCTAAACCACTGAGCCACGCCCGGCCTTTAAAAATCAATAAAAATACATCCTCGGGTGAAGATTTTTTAAAAAAGTGAGCGTGCCGCCCTTGGGAACGTGTCTGGAGCAGCTGCCCTCCTGAACCCCGGGTCCCGGGGGGATGCTCCTGTGGTCAGATGAGTCAGCTCCTCCGGTCACAAGTTTCTTCTACAAGAATCTGCTTTCAGTTGCCAATCACAGGACTTCACTCGTGTGTGGGATTTAAAACCGAAAGCAACAGATGAGCAACCAGGACAAACAAGCAAAACCCCAGACACAGGCAAGAGCATGGTGGTGACCAGAGGGAAGGGGGGGGACAGTCAAGGGTGCAGGGGGGCAAATGGTGACGGAAGGAGATCGGACTCTGGGTGCCGGGCTCACAATGCAATAGACAGATGTAGCAGACCTTACGCCCGAAACCTATAGAACCTTATTAATCAACATCACTCCAAGGAATTTAATTTAAAAAAAAAAATTTGTTTTCCAAAGTGGATTTGAACTGTAGTCCCCATGTGGTAAATTTCAAACGCATTTTCCCCTTTCCAACCGATCAACCTCTAAAATACATTTCCTACAATTAAACAAATGAAGTCGGATTTTGCCTGTTCATGAGCTGATAATCCTCACATTTGCCTCACAGTGATCACTGGCCTATGGAGTCTGACAAGGTGGGATTTTTCAAAAGATGATGCATTAATTCCCATTTAAATGTAATACTATGTATTTTGACGTGACCTCGATTCAAAGAGTGTTTCTGCTCCAGTGTTGCTACACTGTGTACTTTTGATTATTGGTTTATTTTATTTATTTTATTTATTTATTAATCTTCACCCGAGGATATTTTTTCCGTTGATGTTTTTAAAGAAAATGGAAGAGAGGGAGGGACAGGGAGGGGGGAAGGAGAGAAACATCGACGTGAGAGAGACACACAGACTGTTTGCCTCCCACACTCCACCCAACCAGGCCCGGGAGGATCGAACCTGCAGCCCAAGTGTGTGCCCTTGACCGGGAATCGAACCCACAACCCTTCGGTGCGCAGGCCGACTCCCTAACCACCGAGCCCCACCGGCCAGGGCATGATTACCGGTCTTACTAAAATCATTACAACGCCCCAAACAGCACCGCTCGCGAATGCCAAGGTGACGTCAAGTCAGGCCGATTGTCACATAGAGCCACTGACCCGTCACCCACTGGATACCAGCTCTGTTATCATTTAGAACTAAGGGAAGAACTTAACTCTCTGTGCCACTTAACGAAATTATTCTTAAATACATTCAGAGTCACGAGCAAGCGAGAGGAGCCTTGTGGAAGAGAGAAATCAACAGGAACTTTCGCGCCCAGGCGTCCGGGTGTCTAAATGATAACAGGCTCTGTTATCGTTTAGAACTAAGGGAAGAACTTACAAGCTGCTGAGAATGAGCTGGGGGCAATGCGATTAAATTCAGAAGGTGTCCAGGAGAAAGACAATTTTTTCTTTCACATATTTCCCAAGCAACTTCTCATATGTGATCGCCAAATATATTCTACTTGTCACCCATACACATGTTCTGACGGCCGAGTCCACGGGCTCGGCACAGACACCGCATAAGGTCGGACACCCACGCAAGCTCGCCCGGGCCTCTCTCCTGCCCCCGCCCGGTTTTCCGTGACCCTCCTTCCCTCCACCCGCTGTCTGGCCTGTGACCTCCCCCAGTTAGTATCGGGCACGGTCACCTGCCCCGATTCTAAGACCGAACCTATAAGGTTCCTCCCGCGACTCCCCTAAAACCGGGAGCTTAACGCTAACGCCCCANCTATAAGGTTCCTCCTGCGACTCCCCTAAAACCGGGAGCTTAACGCTAACGCCCCACACGCTGTGCCACGATTTTAAGTCAAGTGAGTGCTGTGAAACTTTCTGTGCAATTTAACGAAATTATCCTCGAGGACGTCAGTCATAAGCCCAAAATGGTCACTGTAGGGAAATTTATAGCAGCCCGACGGGNAACAGTCATAAGCCCAAAACGGTCACTGTAGGGAAATTTATAGCAGCCCGACGGGAAACGACGTAAACGCCCCAAATCAGGGACGCGGCTCACGAGCAAGCACCCGCGCCCGTTCGTAACAGTCGTCCACGTTTAGATCCTATAGTTTAAGGAGTTTGTAATAACAACGTATTAGGCCTGAGAAGAGCCCAGAACAGAATGGAAGGTNAACAGTCATCCACGTTTAGATCCTATAGTTTAAGGAGTTTGTAATAACAACGTATTAGGCCTGAGAAGAGCCCAGAACAGAATGGAAGGTGAGGAATTGACCCCAACGGGACCAAAATATGCACAGGAGCCAAGGAAAGAAAACGCAGGGAAATACAAAGGAAGACTGTTTCTGTGGGGTGGCGTTAAGGACCGTTTCCTTTCTCACAGGCTATTCGGTGTCTCCAAACTTTTGGCGGTTAGTGGGTATTGTTTGGGGATGGACTGTGGTCTCGGCCTGATCTCGAAAGGACACACACAGTCCGTTCTCTAGGGACACGGAAGGGCCAAGGGCCACTGCCACTCACAGGCGTCTCTCCATGGTGAAGACGGCCCCAGAGCGTCACCAAGTAAAATAAGAAATAGAGCATCGCTGCGTCTCACGGCTCAGTCCAAGGGCCCGTCGCCTCCTCCTTCAGACTGGCCTCCGCCGGGGAAAGCAACACATTCACCCACCGCCACAGAATGCAGATTCGCAGGAATCCGCCTGGACACATCTTCAACACGAGACGCAGGCCCGTCGCCGGCCCCAGCACATCCCTCGGCCCCCCCGAGACGGTGCTACTATAGGCAGGGCGTCGGTAAACAGACCAACCGCCCGGTGAGCAGGCCGAGATGCCCGGGACGTCGTGTACGGTGTCGCTTACTACACATGCTTTTCAGAGGAACGCCGGCCCTGGGCGAACGGGTTTAACTGCC